AACAGACAGAGTCGCGAACGCGCGCCCCACCCCCCGTTTCGTTCAGTCAGAGAACTGTATACTACCCGCAACGATATTAAACGATATTAAACGATTCTCTTCCTCCGTTCTCAACCATCATCCGCAATAGATTGTATTTGCACGTTGGACATTTCCGTTGGAACGTATCTGTTTATTGTTTACTAGATCAGTTTGTTTCCTCGATCGCTTTAATTTCACCGTTTTTGAACGATCTACGGCTGACTCGTACTTTGAATCCGATTGGCTAGATATCGAACACTGCCCGGCGAACGAACTGAAATTTGAAATTTCGAAATTTACGTTACAATTCACCGAAGAATCGCAAGTATACCTTTCGATCTGAATCTCTAAAGCGTAAAGTGTAGCGAGTAGCTGCGGCGGCAGTTGTTGGCCAGTTTACAAAATTACAAAATTACAAACTTTCGACTGTGTCGTCGTTGTCGGGCGAGAGCGAGTTCAGCGACACGGTTCGGCGCTGTAAGATTGACGATACAGCGACGGGTAGAGTGCATCGGAATATACCTCGATCGGTGGACGAATCCAGCCAGCCAGCCAGCCCTAGCCAGCCGGCCGTGAAGAAATCTGAACCACCTTCGCGCAAACAGCCCCGAGAGACACCCACGAGAGTAGTTTCAGTTCCGAGTTTCAGTCCAGCGAGAAGAACGTGTTTCTCTCGAGAACGTGTTGGACGCGGCACGACGCGAAACGACGCGAAACGACGCGGAACGACGGGGAACGACGACGCGGCGCGGCGCGGCACCGAGCAAACTACGAAACGGCTCGTCTACTTTTCTCTCTTCCGAGGGAAAACTGCGGCGAAAGAGAGGAAAGAAAGACGAGCGGCGAGAATCTCTGGCTATCGAGTGGAAAAGAGGGAACGCGTTTGTTTGTTCGTCGATAACGAGCGGCCGCTCGCTAGCTCACGAACCAGATAACGCGTCGTCGTCATGACGAGGGGTTGGGGCAAAGAGCTAACGCGCATCGCGAGAAGTGTCGCCGCTCCCCTCCTCTCCTCTCCTCTCCTCTCCTCTCCTCTCCTC